TTTCCCTCTTCTTTGTAAAAGTAATTTCCACTATTTAACTTTTCTCAAGTATTTCATAAAGCAGAATGAGAACTTTTCAACAGGGAGTGAAGAAACCAAATTTATTGAGCAAACTGAGAGATCTGAAATTCAAACTCATAATAAAAAAACTGGGTTAGATAATTATTAAAACCTGATCATCAATTAATAGGTTATCAATATTAAGTTATATACACTTTTAACGATATAAATATTTTTTATATTATTAACAAAATTTAACACGAGATAGTAGGTTAGTTAATATTTTTACCTGATAATCAATTAATACTTATCAAGTGATTTACTTGTACTTATTTAATAAGTGACTAAATCATATAAATATTTTTTACATCGTAGAGTGTACACTAAAGTTGAGAAGGCCCAATCAAGCCATACTGAAATGAAAAAAAATTAAATTTATATAACTTCAGTTCGATCTATTTTTATTGAAAAGTTAATCTGATCGCCCACCCAACCGCTTCAACGAAAATATTCGTTGAATATAATATATATATATATATNTCCGGGCAGCAATTTGTATAAAGATTCCTTTTTAATTTTAAAAAGCTGAAAAAGAAAAAAGGTCAAATCAAAATTTGGCGAAACCGAACTGAACTACGGATGGGCTGTATTGTATTCTCTTCCTACTTCTCCCTTAGGAGTCGTTTGGTAAGATGCATTAGGGAAAAATAATATGTGTATTAGCTTTGATATTATTAATCCCTTATTTGGTAGTATTTTTCAACCTATAGACCCTATTTGGTATAATTATAGAGTCCATTACTCAAATGGTCAGTCAAATATTCCAAATTATCTACTAAAGTCACTTTTCTTTTGTTTGTAACAACAAAGTCACTTAACTATGCATATTGCACTCAGAATGTCACTCAACTAGATTTTTTAAATTTTTGATTGTCAAATACCTATTTTACCCTCTAAATTATTAATTTTTTAACTTTTTTAAATATTATAAGTTTTTTATCTTTTTAATCCACATTCTGGACTTACCTATAGAAAAATATATTTTATTTATAAAATAAAAATAAAAAATTAGTTTTCAGCTCATATAATGACGGAATAATAATATACTTGAGCATAAATTTCAACCATATATAATGTATATTATAAAAATACCTTTATTTAAATAATTATTTTTATATTACGTGCATGGAATATATATTTTACAACCTTTATTTTCTTTCATTCTCAATTGTGTAAATAAATTTTTAAATTTTTGTTGTTAATACTAAAATTATTACGAACAAATTATTCTAATTAATTTGCTCATTATTTTGTTATTCCAGCATTATATATGCTTAAATTCTTTTTATTTTTTTAATTTATAAATAAAATTTATTTATTATATAGGTAAGCCCATAATATAAATTAAAAAGGGAAAAATCATAATATTAAAAATTTAAAAAGAATAAAGATAAATGTTTATAATTTAGAGGGTAAAATAGATATTTGACAATCCAAAATTTGGAAAATATAGTTGAGTGACCTTCTGAGTGCTATAGACATAGTTAAGTGACTTTGTTATTACAAAAGAAAGAAAAGTGACTTTAGTAGATAATTTGGGATAGTTGAGTGACCATTTGAGTAATGGACTCTATAATTCTACGTAAAACTAATACATAGCAAATAATGGCATTAATAATACCATAATTTTTAATACATGAATAAGCATGTATATACCCCTATGCAATGCATGTTATTTTTAATACACCAAATCAAATAGTGGATAAAAATAATCCAAATATAATTAATTCCAATATTACTATTTTCAGTATTACTAATACCTTATTCGATACTATTCTTATACACCCTACCGAACGATCATTTAACGCGACCATCACATAATAATTCTTAAGAAGCCAAAAGTTGACAGTAAAATAGTAAAAAAAGAAAATGGAAGGAAATAAATTTAACATAGATATACTTCAGATTGCGAGGTCTGATGTGACAAAAGAAAGATACTGATTTGACATGTAATTCTCATTTGATGTCATTTTACTATGAATCAATTCATAGATTTTTACCTAGTTACAAAACATGCGAAGCATCTTTCTTAGATTCTGTGCGGTGGATTTACCTCTTTCTTTCACTTTCCTTTGTGTTTTTGGAGATTTTACTGTCCCAAAATTTACCCATCTAAAGTAAAATTTTATCAGTTAGAGGAAAATTGCGTCGAGGACCAACACTTCACTGCTATAAGATATTTTTACAATGCTAGAATTAGAACTACTGTTTAAAAGTTCTTAAATTAGACGTAATACTTACGTAGAGCACAATATTTACAGTTAACTATAAATAACATTTAATTTATAACATAGGCATTAGGCAGTGTAATTATGACCAATATTTTGGCTAATGAAGTCCATCTCACATGAGCATAAACATCTTTGCAAAGTGTAGACTTTGATGGCACTATTCTTTGGGACCCAAAAATATTACATTGTGTGTTGGACATCATTTGTACAAGTTGTATCTCTTCTTTTACACCTAAGAGGCCAAGACTTTTTTGTTTATAAAAGGGAAGGCCATTAGTTCATTTTAGACATACCAACAAGACTTGTCTTCAATTCTTGTTTCTTCCTTTCTTCCTTTATTAAGAGTGTTTTGTATGAAAGTTAGTATTGGGAAGCACTTGTGTGAACCCTTTCTTTGGAGTGATCTTGTGAGTTTATTCTCTTAGGGTATTTGGGATTAATTAGAGTGTTTACTCTAATTTTGTACTCTCTTTTGTACTCTTATTGTTATAGTAAATTGCTCATCTCCACTTGTGGACGTAGGTCACTTTGACCGAACCACGTTAAATTTGTGTCTTCTTTATCTACTTTAATTGTCGTTGTTATCAACTTTCATTGTCTTTGTTATTGACATTATATCGTTGTTTGGCTATATTCCACACTACCCGAGTTCCCGATCCTAACGGACAGTGTAAAGATTTAATTATAACTACGTGAATTACTTGCAATGTGAACTATTTGCAGTGTGATTCTGGGGCTAAGAGATCCAACTTAAGACTCTGAGATGCATCTTACGACAGTCTTTGATCGTTTGCAATGAACTAAAAACAATAGCTATACCACCAAAAATTATGGTGTGGTGGACGAGATTCCTCCACCCTTAACTAATTAAGATCACGTGTTCGAGCATGCGAATGAAAGATAAGGAGTACTTTTACCTTTAATGGATCTTACGCGACATGAATCTGAATTAGTCGGGGCCCAATATAATTACCGGATACCGAGCATCATAGATAGAGTAGAAAATCCAAAAAGAAAAAACAAACAAGAAGCTACATTTTTTCAAATTCCTATGATGATCAATTAACAGCCTGGGTAGAAAAATAGAAAAGACGCGATATATTAAATATACCAAATCGTGATAAATGTTTTCAATTTGTCCAAATAATAGTTGAAATGTCATCGTTTACGATTTATACATACTGAAGTTGAACATGCAAAGCAATATTCTCCTCATCTCACACACCCCTGCCCCCAAAGAAAAGAAAACAAGAAATATGTAGTGTAGAGTTCTTACTTTCGGAAATCTTTATTCTCTCCTAACACGATACTTCAAATTAAAACAAGTTAAAGAGGAGAATATTAGCAACTCTTTTTCTTAGGTATATACTTGGTGACTTCTACATAGATTCCACCAAATATCTTATATATCTTATCTAAAATCTTACTTCCTCCCTCCGTATCATGCATCTTTAGCTCTTTACACAACTATTAGGAAAAATAATAAATACAAGTTGTAGTTTATTAAGTTACCTATATTAAATGCTTTTGAGAATTGAGCTAGTAAGAAGAAGGGAAGAACTACTTCTTTAATATTACGGCTATAGTTGGAAACAATTAACAAAAATATTCTTGAAAACCTAAATTGTCCATTATTTTGGAATAAAATTTCTAAAACGACAGTTAAAATTGGATGGAAGGAGTGATTCGTTAATGATGAAATACATTGAGTGTAAAGATTTTCTTACACTATCAATCGGAACATATATAACGTATTAGTTACCATTTTTATCAGGTTTCAATTTAATGTTTAGCATAGAGATTAATTACTTGTAATTTAATTTACAAAATGATTTAATTATGTAAATATATTTAACAGTATCAATGCATAAAATTTAAATTCAGTGCATAATATTTTACCGTGTCAGTATCCGTGCATAGAACTTAAATTACATGCTTAAGACAAAGAGGTGCTAAATTTGTACATAGAATTTAAATTCTTTACTTATGTAGAGAAAAAGCAACGTAGGGAAAATTAGTGAAGTTGAAAAAAGAGCAAAACCCTATGCTATTTTTGGTTTGCAAAGCTGCAAATAAGAAACAGACCACAACACCACGTCTGGTTTATAACTAGAAAACTTTGCTTTCAATGTCATTTTCTTTGCCAGCTGCTATCTCTTAATCTCTTTTCCTTTCACATTTTGAAGTCATATCTAAGCTAAGACTATATACAAAGATATTTAGTAAAGAGTTTCTTTTCTCATTCCTAAGGTGTTTAAAAAGAAGGGGTGTAAATTTGATCAAGACTAGCTTTAGTTTTTGGAATTCGTGTGACTTTCGGAAAGGGCTTTGAAAGTCGCCGGAAAATAGCAATATTTTCCATTGAAGATAGTCAGGTCTGTTTATGTTTTTCTTAGCATATGCTCTCATCTTTCCAATGAAAAACTACAAAATTTATATTATAGGAAAATGGAAAATTATAGTATGTACTATATAGTTTTACTTTGTTTATCCCATTAATTTCCTTACATTTTTTGCAGTGTCTGAAACGTTTTTATCTCTGTTCTTTATGGCAAATTCAAGTATCGTACGTGTAGCACTTTGTCAATATTTAGATCTGCTGCTATATTTCCAGAAATTGTTGAATTTTCTTATATGAAAGCTCAAACGTTTTTTTTTTTTTTTTTTTTTTTTTTTTTTTTTTTTTTGGTTTTACAAACTTTCGAATTCTCTCCCACTTGTCAGGAGTTTTGCCTTTCGAAAACCATTCACCTTTATCTTAATAATTTTGTATCGCAAAAAAGTTTCCTAAAACAATTCTTCTCTTGTGTTGCCATATTTTTTTGCACGAGATTAATCAAACTATATATGCAATTGCATATAGTCACATTTTATGTATCTTGGAATCTCCATGTATCTTGGAATCTCCGAAAACATCGCCGCGTGTCTTGCATCCTTCAAAAAAGTAATGTATTTTTGGAGGATTTGATACGGGTGCAGCAACATTCGTAGAGTTCCGGCAACTTAAGTCATATTTGATGTTTTTTGAGAAATAAAATGGAGAGAAACCCTACTTTTGTTCTTCTAATTGGATCTTCTACAAGGATATTTCTTTGGATGGTAGTAATTGTTATTACATCGAAAACGGAGGTATATATTCTTTTTCTTTTATATGTTAGCAATGAATACAATTTTGATTTCCTCTTCATTCTCCATATTATAAGTGTCAGAATTAAAAAGGTTATCTTGAACATCTACTATTTTTTCTGATCTGTAAATATATAAAAGAATGAAAAAAAGTTGTAATTTTGTTTAGGATGGGGAGAGGAAAGATTGAGATAAAGAGGATAGAAAACAACACAAACAGGCAAGTGACATTCTGCAAAAGGAGAAATGGACTGCTGAAGAAAGCTTACGAACTCTCAGTTCTCTGTGATGCTGAGATTGCTCTCATTGTTTTCTCCACCCGTGGCCGCGTCTATGAATACTCTAATACCAAGTAAATTTTCTACATCTGTTTTTTTGTGTATATATGCTTTTTTTTATTCTTATTGGGAGAATGGGAGCTAGCTAGGGTATATATATATTCATCTCATGCTTAATTTGCTAGATTTGTCATCTAATGGTTGTATTTTCATTTCTCCTTTTCGTAAATCCTTTTGCTGACCAGAGGCTGATTCAAAACTTAAGCTCTGTAGGATCCATTAAATTTTCAAAGTTATGTGTTCGAATCTACTATTTCTTACAATTTTAGCAGATTTTACACTCAAATTTATACACCACGCCGGAGTAGGAGGGTTAAACTATCTAATTTTCAGTTTGAATTTGGACATAGAATTTTTAAATAAAATTTACATTTAAAAAATACCTAAAAATTACAATAAGTTACAATAATTAACAATTTAAAATATTTAAAAGGCTGTGTGAAAAAATTGAGATAAAAGAACTTCTTTTAACTCTACGAATAATAACCTTGTCTCATATAGTGAGAGAGAGTTATAGTACGTTTGTGTATGTTCCTAGCTAACTACCAGAAGCCTAGACAATAAAGCATGGTAGAAAGATATATACACTGATTCCAAGGAATTCTCTGCTCACAAGTTTAAGATGCTTCTACTCTAAATGGATTCATAATACTTTAAAAAGTTATAATAATTACTATTAAAAGAAAGAAATTATAAGAACATCTCTGTACAACAGTCAAGTGTTTATGTGTTGTTGATGATGAATTACTCAAGAGAATGGTATAAGCTTGTTTTCATATATTTCATGAATAATTTTTCAAATAGTCTCAAAGTACTTGGATCTGATGTACTAATACACCAATTAGAGTTCCCTAATAGTTTTGTAACCAAAATTTGTTTTCTGACTGCTTTGTGTTTGGACTAGGTTATTAATATTTGCTTACTTTTCGGGGTAAGTTTTCAAAATGGATTTAACTCATGACCCGGTGTGAAGAATTTTTACATCATCAATTATAGCCTATGTATTGAACTCCACGCCAGTTTTCAGTCGATGCTACACTAACATAAATTCATGTAAAGTTAAATAATATGCAAATCCCCCGCTCCACCCACGTCTGACCCAGGGGCGGAGCTAGAATTTCAAACTTATGGATTCAAAATTTTAATAAGTTATATATTCAATAAATTTTTTAAAATAAATACAGAGTTGGAACCGAAGCTAGTGGGTTCGGTCGAACAGCTCTCGGCACTCTAGGTCCGCTTCAGCCCCAACCAATCCTTTGGAGCCTCTTTGTAGAAATTTTGCTCCCTCGAACTTCGACGTCTGACTTCATCATTTCCTTTTATATGTTGGCTACTTGGCTTAATAACGTGGCAACAACAGCTAAAAAGAAAGTTATAGAGGAATGAAAGAGTAGTAGTTATATGCTAGTTAGTTCTCAGTGTTTCAGCCTCGGTATGCAGAAAGAATTTAGACATATATGTTAAACAGCAAGCTAAATTAGTCTTTGAAAGTCCAATAACAAGGTAAAAATATCTAAAGAACACAAACAAGAAAATGGACGTCAATCTATCAATATAAATATAAAAGACAAAGGGCATAGCATAAAGAGGTATCAAGAACTACAGTTTACCTTTGCAATGCCTTCTGATTTCTTTTCACTTTCATTGTTTGCTAACTTCTGGTTCCAGGGGTTGTTTATTTTCTATTTGTAGCTTATTTCTGTAAAAGCTTCTTTAGCTTTGGTTTTTCCTTTTTGGTGAAAGCAAATTATTTCACAAGCTAAGTTCAGGTTTTGACCTATATTTGTGATAAGAGAAAATGATGCATGGCGTATTTCTCTAGGGATTTTTCCCTTGCATGCATATGGCAAATTTTGGTACTTGGGTTCCTTTTATATAGTATATGCATTAACCAATAAATAAATAATACTAACTAAAAACTACGATTGCTTGCAGTCTCCGAAATTGTCGCCAAATGCGTGTTGGATCCTCCAAAAGACTGTATTTTCGAAGGATCCGATACGGGTGAAACAATATTTTGAATAGTCCGTGCAACATATACCAAAAGAAAAGTGAATTTGAATTAATGGAGAAGAAAATAAAGAAATGTCTTCTTTCCATCATTGATAAGGACTTGAAATAATGCACCTTTTTGTCAATTCAATTCCCACTATATATGATTCCTTCTTGTTTGAGTTTGTTATTCCTATAAATATAATATACTTGGTCTTCACATCTATATATTTGTTTCAATTTTCTTTCTGTTTAAGAAGAGAACTTGTTAAGTGTTTTTACACTTGACTTACGTTAAAGCAAATTGTTGATTGGTAATCCGCATGTTTACCTTACTATATTAAAATTTTCGTTTAATCCAGTTTTACAACTTCTTTACAATTCTTTTAGAGTTTTATGTGCTATTTAATATCACGAATAATTAAGATTTCTAGAAAACGTATGATATTTTCCTTCTTCTATTCTCTTAATTTTGTGATATTCCGAGATAAGACTTGCACCTTATAGGAATAAGGGTTTCGTCGTATAAGGTTTGACTGCAATTTTTAGATTGAAAAGTAATAGTTTTTAGTGAAGTAATAAAATAAAGGGCAAGTAAGAATTATGAGGGTAGAGCAGCATTTATGGTCCTTCCATAACTCCATATGATTTTGAAAGACATATTAATATATTGACTTATTCAATAAATACCCATCAAGTTACGTAGAAAAATATAATATGAAATCACTGTGGCCATCTCATCTAAAAGTTTAAACTGTTAGATACAACATATTTTTATTTACTTAATTAAATTTTCAACATGCTCATTACCTTGGGGCTTAATTCTTTTTGATGAGCCAAACAGTCTGCTCTGATACCATGTTAGACAAGATACATTGGGGAGTTTTGATATGCCTCAATCTCGAAGAAGCTAGTGGGTGTAGTTCAATGAATTTTTACTATCCACAACATTCTATTTAAGTCGTTTCAGCCAAATATTAAAGTTATGTAGAGAAATATAAATAATATTCAAGCTTATTAGTTTTATAGTAAAGAGAATATGACTACTAGGTGCATTTTCGAACATTTTTTCTAACTTGGTCTAGTATTGGTGACGGATTCAATAAACTCCTCTCAATTATGTACTATTAAATTAGAGTTACCAGAAATATGGTCTACTCTCGAAAAATTCCGAGTTGGGATATATTTTAAATTTTATCTTTTGATATGTGTATATCAATTTGTTTTATTTTTGTAGTAGATTTTAACTGTTAGTTATCGAATAAAACTGCTAAAACTGTTTGATATATACAGCATAAAGGCAACAATAGAACGGTACAAGAAGGCAACCGCAGAAACCTCTAGTGCCTACACTACTCAAGAGCTCAATGCACAGGTAATTAACTATAAAAACATGTCATCATATGCCTTTTAGACTGTTTAATTCCTAAAAGAAACTAAACTATCGACTATCCCCTTAGATTAGTATCATGTAATGTTAAAAGAAATAGGATATTCTTGTGTACGTTGACTAAAGCGGCCATGGAGACCAAAAACCTTTTCTATTAGAGTCGCGAGCTTGTTATAGTCGGCCTAAGGGGAAAATCTTGCAGCATAACAGTAATACCAAAGCTTTTTGTAGTGCTAGAAGGAAATGCAAGCCAATGAATCTCACCCCCTAGCGATTGAAGTGCTTACATCCCTTTAAATATAGAGGCGAGCAAAAGAACTTGTTCTTCCATTTTGAAATCTTTTGATAAACTGGATTCCTATTTCTCTCGGTTCCTTCTATCATAACCAGAGGAGTGACCCAATAAAAATAGCCCGTCATGTCTCATTTATTTTTTTCCTTTTCTTGTGTCTTTTTTTTCTTCTTTTAAATATGTTTTCAGTTTTACCAACAAGAATCAAAGAAGCTGCGCCAACAGATACAATTGATGCAAAACACAAACAGGTGATTTCATGACTGAATAGCTTGCAGAAGATTTTGCAACTATTTCTGCCTTCCAAATATATTTTTTTTCTACGCACATCACAAGAAGAAAATAAATATTGTTAAATGGTGTATTTACTGAAAAATTTAATGCAAAAACATTTTTTCAAGTCCAGACATTTGGTAGGTGAAGGAGTGAGCTCTTTGAATGTGAGGGAACTGAAGCAGTTGGAGAACAGACTTGAACGAGGCCTTACAAGAATTAGGTCAAAAAAGGTATAATGGCTTTGTCAAATTATTTCCTTCAATTTCTGTGTCTTTTTTGAAAAAACATATAATTTTAGGTCTTTCAACTTTCAGGGTTAATGTTTACATTAATTAGGGAAAACACTCCTCCCTTATATTTTTCTTCTAATAACTATGTCTTATAGCGTGTGCACCTCCACTGTTTGATCGAGTACCTGCTAAATATAGAGTAACTTAACGTATTAAGGATTAAATAAATAAGAAAACATTTCTTAGCATTTTTTTTTATCTATGTTGATATTTGAATTATAATCTCTCATATTATTTATTCACTTCGACCGCTATTGTCACACCATGGTACTTCTTACTTAATTTGAAATCTTATGTTTTCTTATAAGTGTACCAGAACTGTAAGCATTTGTAGTTATATCAAATAATTTTCCCTGATTATAGAGTGGAAAATTCAATGATCTTATCCATATTACTTGTTTTTCTTGAGCAGCATGAAAGGATACTAGCTGAGACTGAGAATTTGCAGAAGAGGGTTATTTTCTTGAAACTTGTTTGCTTTTTCTTAGTAGACTCTTAATGTTTCTGATTATGCTTTATTGATAAATACTCACTCATTTTCATCCTTGAACATGCATGCTCTTCTTATAGGAAATTCAACTGGAACAAGAGAATGCATTTCTTAGATCAAAGGTACTTCCTTTCTTGGCTTATATTGTTGGAAAAAATAATATCTCACCCAGGAATAATATCCACGATAAATAATAATATCACAAAAGAGTTACGACACCAAATTTTTTAACGGGGTAAAATATAATACCAGAGCAAAGCAATATTACCACTATAATATTACAACTTGATAGTGGCAAGAAACTATTACAACTTCAAAAAAAATAATATTTTTTATTTTATATACTTCACTATAATATTCTTTCCATTCACTATTTATCTCAAAGACTACACTACGTTGATTACTCAATCTAACCCTATGTTAGCTTCTCTCAATTTGCATAACTCCTTATAAGGGAATAGAAGCTCCTTATATATTGGAATAAGGGAATAGAAGCTCCTTATATATAAGCCTCCACCGTTGAACCAACCAATCAGAATGTTTGCATAACCAAAATCAATTGTTCCATCAAAACTAATTGCCGCCTAACATTGCTTTCTTTTCCACCAATCACATTTTTCCTTTAGTTCTTTTTTTCTCTTTTATTTAATGAGGCTGACCCCACATATATATATTCGTCAGGTCAAATGATTTTGTGATCTATTACAAACTTATTTTTAGTTCTATGATTCCGTCTTTTTTTTTTTTACGCATAAGAGATTTGTTTTTACACATGATAGATTTATCTTTTACACGTAAGAGATCAAAAAGTTATTTTTTTAATTTCAACATTGTAAAAAATTATAGAGGCCTAAAACCCCGGAAATATTTAGTAAACTTGTCCCTTTATATTAGACACATCAGTTTTTTTTTAAATTTTCCTCCCCTTTGATCCCTTTTGTTGGAGCTATTGCTCATTTTGGTGACTCAAACCCACATCTCGGGTTGTAAGTGGAGAGTGCTGACATCTGACCAAACCTTCTTGTCAGACACGTACATCAGCTAAAGTACGTAATTTGTTTGTTTGTCCGAAGATAAATCAACATTTACTTAAAAGCTGAAGAAGTTTTTATATTAATCTTGATTTCAAAGGCATACTACGATTGGCAGGAAAAGGTATTGAAGCTTTTTTGGTCTTTTAACTGAAGAAACAAGCCTTTCTCAAATTTCACTGGCCAAATCTGTCCACTAGACCTAAGAATAAGATAACAAAAAAAATGAATTAACTCTTGTTTTCTTTCTTGCTATTCTAGTTTAATAATTGTTTACCGGAAAAATCGGATAGAGTTAAATTTGTGTATGATTCTAAGGACATGTGATATAACTTGATACAAATTATAGAGTGAAATGGAAATATCTATATTCTTGACAAATGGAACGAAATATAAGGCAGAAAAAAATGATATGTTAATGAACAAGGCAACGTAATTCCCCCAAATGTGTTGAAATCCCCCCTTATATTAGAGGAATCCTACTTTATCTATAATAAAAAATATATAGTGGAGAACCCATGATGAATTGTCTTTTCCTCGATTTCCGCCAAGATTCTCTCCCATAGTGCGGTTGTAACGGCTCTTGTCTGCGAGCTCGATACTGGCTCGAGCTCGGTATTAGTTCGAGCCCTCGGCCTTGGTTCGAGCTCGATTCTGCCTTGGGGTCTCGATATTCGGGATGAGTGTTGGTCGGTCTATGCATCTTCGATAATCTCCGCTTTACCTCGTAGTTTGATTTGGATATGAGCTTGATAATGATACCGAGCTTGTCATTGATAGGTCTTAGAGCTCGAAGCTCGACGCCCTTACTTCGGACCTCGACCGAGCTTGTCATGCAGATACCCTTTGATCGAAGCATTATCGTCTCGACCAGTCTGTACGACTGACTCAATCGGTCTTGACCGTACACAGATAGTCCCCTCGTTTCTCGGAAAAAGATGTGGCGAGAAACAATATGATTTCCCAACAACTCGATCAGATATATGCTGGCGTTTTCATCGATCCCGAGCATGACGTACGTGATAGCTGTCCCATCGGTTCAGTTTTACCAGGGCATTTAATGTGTGTCAGACGGTGGTCGGCGACCACTGATATTGAACCGCCATTGCTTCAATATATAAATAGCCTTTCCTTCCACCATTCATCACTTTTACGTCTTCAATCTTCCATAATCTGTGAGTTTTACTGCAAGCTCTTTCTTAAAACGCCAAATACTCCCGTTCTTTGTTCACGGAATTTTAAATGGAAAAAATATCTAAAACTGTTTCGCAAAAAGAGACCGCTTCTTCATCTCGACCTGCTAGTGGCGAGGATGTGGAAGAGCCCCTCCCCACTTCTCCGATACCGGGTCGGTATGAGCCGATGTCGAGGTACCAATGTTTAATTATCGAAAAATTTCTCGATAAAGTCATACAAAAATGCAACTGGGATAATAAACTCGTAGTAATCCCATCGCCCGATGAATCAATTACTGCCCACGTCGAAGGGTTCTTAAGTGTTTATATTTATCCTTTCACGTTGGGACCTCTAGACCCTATCATCGTTGCCTTCTGTAAGAGGTACGATGTGACCCTCGACCAAATCCACCATTCCTTTTGGAGGATAGTGATTCTTCTTCGATTTTTCTCGAGCAAGGTCGAGGGGCGTATCTTCACCCTCGATCATCTTATGCACCTTTACAGTCCCCGACTTTATCGAGGAGGGTTGATCAAGCTTGCTCGCCGAGCAACCAAAGGTCCATTCTCAAGCATAGACGAGACTCGGGATCGAGGTTGGATGGGCCGTTTTGTTCGAATCAAAACCTTTGACCTGATCCCTGCCGATGACTTGTCATTTCTCGAGAAATGGAATATGAGCCGTGAGTAAATATTTCTCTTTGCCCGTTTTGATTTTGTAATTGTCTTTTATTTTGTTGATCTATTTTTCTTTTCTTATCACAGCCGTAGCTCGAATGCCGGAACCGATCCCGGATCTTAATCAATGGGTCAAAAGTCTGGTGTTGCAGAGACCGTACTCCGAGCGTGCTTGGGTCGAATTATCAAAGGGTCGGTGGGAGGCCCGCAGTCATGGTAAAACTTTTTGTCGATTTGTCTCTTCATCGGTTTGTATGGTAAATCTCCCTTTTCCCCTTTGTAGGACTCGGGAAAGATGTAGTCATGAGGGCCCCATCTGATGGCGAAGAAGTTCCTACCCTGAAGCAGGTAAAAGAAAGGAAGAGAAAAGGCGTATCGGGCTCTGGTGTTATGTCTTCGGAAGTGTCCCGCCATTTAAGGGACGAGCCCGAAGAAAGAGAGGATAATTTAGCCTGCATACGGGATAATGTTGTGATTCAACAGTCTTCCAATTTGGTGGAAGCAAATCAGGGAACCTTGGCCATAATCCCAGAACAAAAAGAAGCCGAGATTATCCCTTCTCGAGCTAAGATGATTGAAAGGGATACCGAGGGTGGGTCTTCTCGGGCAGTAGAAGATATTTCAAGGGATGAGTTCGGGATAGTTGACATTGGCGGATCCCCTCAGATTTCGGATGCCATGATTTGAGAGGCCGTCCTGTTAGAGGATCGGNATCATGTTGGAGGATCGGTCCTATGAGGGGATTCAGGAGTCGACCGATATCCATGGTTTTCTGGAGGGGCTCGAGTTAGGTGCATCGGAGGAGGTTACCAATTTTGGTAGAATGTCGGTACCCAAAAAAGTGTTGTGGTCGGGTTCTACCGAGCCTTCATCGATTCATATACTGGTGGACCGATTCCCGACCCCGAGTATCGAGCCCGACCGAAGGCGGAAGATAGTGCTCTCCGTACCTGAGGATACCCGAATTTTTTCTTCCCCTGTGGGGATTTCCAGTTACCTTCGGTCCTTGGTGACTGAAGAAGATTAATCAGTGATGAATGCGGTGAGGCCCGACTGTCTCTTCAACGAGGCCCAACATGCTTTGAATCGGGTAACTCTGATGGCATTTTTGCCGCTTCTTTTACACATAGTTGTAGGTAATTATAATATTTCTCCTTTTGTTTTTAGGCTTCGGTGTTGCATCACGAGGTCTTTCTTCGAATCCGGGAGGAGCATGATGTCGAGGTTCGGAGCCTTACTGAGAAGAGTGACTCGTACAAGCTCCTTAGTGAAAAACTTCGAGCAGATTTGACAACGGCTCGGGAAGAGCATGAGAAGATGGCTGAGCAGGTATTCCGAATGTTCCATGATAGTGAATATGAAAAAGAGATAACCACCAACAATCCGATTCTGCAGGTTCAGCAGAGGATCGAGAAGATTGGGAGGCTTAACTCATAGGTAGATGCACTACTGGCCGAGACAGAAGAATTTAAAAATTATATGGATATCCTTTCCTTGAAAAAGGAAGTCGTTCAAGCTCAGTTGGAGTTGTCTGATGCCCAACTTCGATCTGCGAAAGAAAATGCTTCGGGGCTGATCGAAAAGATGAAAGAGCTTCAGCATCGGTTGGATTTGGCCACTTCTGATAAAGCAGATTTGACTAAAGAACTTGAAGTGGCCATATCTGAGGTGATCGAGGCCAATAAAAGAGCTGATGCCAAAGTGGCTCAGTTTAGGATCGATGTTGAGGTTAACCAAGCCAAAGCTAAGAGCATGGTCGAACATGCAAAATGGCAAGCTCGGAGAGAAGCTCTCGAGGAGGTCAGAGCTCAGGGCTTTGATATTGGGGTCGAAATTGAAGCCGCCAGGGTGGAGGAGAACAAAGCTCGAAGGCTGGCCTTTCTTGAGGAGGACTCCGATGACTCGGGAGTCTGAAGATGAGGACGATCCCGAGAATACGTCCTCCGCTGAAGATTGAGTCATTTAGGGCCTTAGGTCGTTTGCTATGTTCTTTTGATACCGCTTTCGGTTTTTGTATAAAGAACTTCCTTTTGGCAGAGTTGCCGCCTTTGTACAAAAAAATTGTAAATATAAATCTTTCTTCCTTTTGAAGAAAAATAGCCTTTCAAGCTAAATAGATAGTTTGATTTTAATCTCGGTTGCCTTCGGGCCTTGTGGGTAGTCCTCTTTGCTTTATCGGGCTCGAACATCCTTCAGCCTTAAATACTCAAGTGTTCGTTTGAATTCGAATAAATGAGTAATTTTACTCGAAGTAATGTAGCCTGTAGGCATAATGGTCGAGTGAGTACTTGCTCGAACTCGGAATAAAAGTAGCCCGTAGGCTTAGTGAATGATTCAAACTCGAAGTAATGTAGCCCGTAGGCATAATAGTTGAGTGAGTGCTCGTTCGAACTCGAAATAAAAGTAGCCCGTAGGCTTAGTAGTCGAGTGAATGATTCTAACTCGATGTAATATAGCCCGAAGGCATAATGGTCGAGTGAGTGCTTGCTCGAACTCGAAATAAAAGTAGCCCGTAGACTTAGTAGTCGAGTGAATGATTCGAACTCGAAGTAATGTAGCCCGTAGGCGTAATGGTCGAGTGAGTGCTTGCTCGAACTCGAAATAAAAGTAGCCCGTAGGCTTAGTAGTCGAGTGAATGATTCGAATTCGATGTAATGTAGCCCGTAGGCATAATGGTCGAGTGAGTGCTTGCTCGAACTCAAAATAAAAGTAGCACGTAGTCCTAGTAGTCGAGTGAATGATTCGAACTCGAAGTATTGTAGCTCGTAGACGTAATGGTCGAGTGAGTGCTTGCTCGAACTCGAAATAAAAGTAGCCCGTAGGCGTAATGGTCGAGTGAGTGCTTGCTCGAACTCGAAAATAAAAGTAGCTCGTAGGCTTAGTAGTCGAGTGACTGATTCGAACTCGATGTAATGTAGCTCGTAGGCATAATGGTCGAGTGAGTGCTTACTCGAACTCGAAATAAAAGTAGTTCGTAGGCTTAGCAGTCGAGTGAATGATTCGAACTCGATGCAATGTAGCCCGTAGGTATAATGGTCGAGTGAGTGCTTGCTCGAACTCGAAAATAAAAGTAGCCTGTAGGCTTAGTAGTCGAGTGAATGATTCGAACTCGATGTAATGTAGCCCGTAGGCGTAATGGTCGAGTGAGTGCTTGCTCGAACTCAAAATGAAAGTAGCCCATAGGCTTAGAAGTTGAGTGAATGATTCGAACTCGATGTAATGTAGCCCTTAGGCGTAATGGTCGAGTGAGTGCTTGCTCGAACTCGAAAATAAAAGTAGCCCGTAGTCTTAGTGATAGAGTGAGTGCTTGCTCGAATTCGAAATAAAAGTAGTTTGTAGGCTTAGTGATCGAGTGATTGCTTGCTCGAACTCGATCCTGTTTGCATAATAAATCTTGGATATAGGATATCGGTAAAGAAGAGGGCTTTCTTTGCAAGTCATTATACATGTGTTCATGTTTTGTGTCAGGGCTCGGGCCAACTACGTAAACATAGTTTGTTTTGACTACTTGGCTCTTACAACGTTTCCTGTCGAGACACTGTTTGTCATGAAATAACGAAGTAACTTTCTTTGCACCAAACTTGATAATCATCACAGATATGTTCAATGATAAAGCCCCCAGTATTCGAGGTTGATTTTAAAGAGGCCTCAGATACTCAGCAGTAGTATCATTTTAGGTGTTACACGTTCCAATCACTTGGTAGTTGATTGCCATTTTATGAGACAAGGGTTTGGAGGATTTTCGCTATATGGCCGGTATCGATCTCTGGTCGACCTTTGCTTGGTAGTTCTTTTAGTAACGGACCTAGAAATCAACTGGTCATCTTCGACTCTTATTTTGGATTGATATCGATTGTGCACATCGGTCCAAGTAATAACTGGGTACTCGATTATATTTTTCTTCAGCCGCCGTGAAGCTATCGAGCTCCGCTCGTTTAGACCTTGAGTGAAAGCTTGAACAGCCCAATCGTCTGTGACTGGTGGCAGATCCATTCGTTCCATTTGAAAACGAGATACGAACTCCCTTAGCATCTCGTTATCTTTTTGTATTACCTTGAACAGGTCCGACTTTCTGGTCTCGACCTTTATGGCTCCGGCATGTGCTTTTATGAAGCAATCTGCAAGCATAGCAAAAGAATAAATAGAGTTAGATGGTAAATTATGATATCATACCATTGCCCCATTTGACAGGGTTTCACCGAATATTTTCAATAACACCGATTCGATCTCATCATCTTCCAAATCATTGCCTTTGATGGCACACGTGTAAGAAGTGACGTGCTCGTTGGGATCGGTCATTCCGTTATATTTGGGTATTTCGGGCATACGAAATTTTTTGGGGATTGGTTTTGGGGCCGCTCTCGAGGGAAAAGGTTTCTGCACGAATTTTTTAGAATCCAACTCTTTTATCATTGGTGGATCCCCCGGGATCTGATCGACCCTAGAGTTATATGTTTCTACTTTTTTATCGTTGGCTTCGACTTGCTTTGTGAGTTCCTCGAGCAATTTAGCAATTTCGGGAGTAGTCCCCGATTATTGCTCATTTGACTTTACTATGGCTGGCTCCGTTCTGTGGGTGATTTCTCGAAGAGGATTGGGCTTCGGCCTGCTTTGTAGCTGTGTTTGGCTCTGCAATTGAGATTTTGCTGCTTGTTGGGCTTGCAACATTTCGAAAATCATACGCAAGCTAACGTCGTTTTCCTCGACGTTATGGGTATCTCGAGCTGCAGACCGAGTGCCACCATGAATGCTATTTTCGGGTTCTGCACGTAGGTTTGCCTCAATGGCTACATGCGAATTGATATCTATCGGCGCTCTGATTCGAACTCCAACGGCGTTTATAAGTAGTCTTTCGGTACTCGGTGTCAAGTTATTGTTTTCATCTTGAAGACTGGCTCCATTGTCGATTGGTGAAGCCATTTGATTGATAGTTAGTCGTTGCTAATCCGAAATTCAAGATATTTTCGGAAACAAGCGTAGAACACAATGGCGTGCTTTTTCAGATTTGTATCAAATAACCACTGTTATCCTTAGCCCCACGGTGGGCGCCAAACTGTTTATCCGAAAAATCGGATAGAGTTAAATTTGTGTATGGTTCTAAGGACACGTGATATAACTTGATACAAATTGTAGAGTGAAATGAAAATATCTATATTCTTGGCAAATGGAACGAAATATAAGGCAGAGAAAAAGAAAATATTGATGAACAAGGCAACGTAATTCCCCCAAATGTGTTGAAATCCCCCCCTTATGTTAGAAAGATCCTACTTTATCTATAACAAAAAATATATAGTGGAGAACCCACGATAAATTATCTTTTCCTTGATTTACGCCAAGATTCTCTCCCATAGTGCGGTTGTAACGGCTCTTGTCTGCGAGCTCGATACTGGCTCGAGCTCGGTATTGGATCGAGCCCTCGGCCTTGGTTCGAGCTCGATTCTGACTTGGGGTCTCGATATTCGGGGTGAGTGTTGGTCGGTCTATGCATCTTCGATAATCTCCGCTTTGCCTCGTAGTTCGATTTGGATATGAGCTCGATAATGATACCGAGTTTGTCATTGATCGGTCTTAGAGCTCGAAGCTCGACGCCCTTACTTTGGACCTCGACCGAGCTTGTCATGCAGATACCCTTTGATCGAAGCATTATCGTCTCGACCAGCCCGTACGACTGACTCAATCGGTCTTGACCGTACATAATAATGTTGGTGTAACTTACTATTCTATTTTATTTCACTTGCCATTCTAAAAATATACCAACACTAACGCGTCGGATCCTATTAGAACTTTGAAATTAGGCGAGGGTAACCTCTTGGGAAGTCTTCATGTTGTATCCCTCTTATTCTCTTGACGTGCGGCCTTCCCCGGATCCTGTATAAATGCCGGATGCTTTGTGCACTGGGCGGTCCTTTTTATTCTAAAAATGTAGTACTTTTTAAATGCCACTCGAGATATTAATCCACTTTGATCTTAGAAAAGAATAAGGCAGAGTCAAATCGAATTAATTCATAGACTGAATTTGGTATATTTTTTGTGCAGATAGCAGAAAATGAGAGGTTGCAGGAACTAAGCATGATGCCAGCAGCAGGGCAAGAGCAAGATTACAATGCTTTTCAGCAATATTATGCAAGAAATATGCTTCAACTCAATATGATGGAAGGAATGCAGCCTTCTAATTATGATTCATTATTGTCTTCTGACAAGAAGTCTCCTCACCTTGACTGAACTCAGTATGTCTTTCTCTCAAACACTTCATTCTTATGTTTCTTCTAATTAATTAGTATAAATTTCCAAATATAATAATAAGAAAAAGCACAACCCCATGCATAAGGCATCCCACGTTCATCCCACGTTCATGTAAGGTCCGGGGAATTAAGGGCCGCACCCCAAATATATAAAGCTCAAATAAGTACTGGTTTTACATGCATGAAAATTAACTAGACAGTCTCCTAACTTTGAATATTACAACAACAACAACAACAACAACAACAACCCAGTATAATCTCACTAGTGGGGTCTGGGGAAGGTAGTGTGTACGCAGACCTTACCCCTACCCTGGGGTAGAGAGACTGTTTCCAATAGACTCTCGGCATCCTTCCCTCCAAGAACTCCCCATCTTGCTCTTGGGTGACTCCCCACTTTGAATATTGAATAACATATTTAATTGTACTATAAGGAAAATAAGAATTTAGACAAGAATTTGAATGGAAAATAATGCTGAAGTTGAAGAGTTTATTTGATATATAAAAGTGAAACCACATCTTTCTCACTATAATCATTTGGTTTCTTTTCATGCAGGTTAATCCATTTGGCTGTGGAGAAAGAAATTTGGTCTTTTAGAACATATAAATAATCTTTGATCTTTGTGCTTTTGCTTTAATTTAGTACCTTGTTTTTGGTGTTTTTGAATTCTTTGCTATTATTACGTGTAACTGATGGACGTGTCAGCTTTTTTTTTCAATAGACCTTGCACCTTCTTAAAATATTTTGAGATTAGATGGAATGAACTTTTTAATGATGTTAAACTAATATGATTTGGTGTAAGCACGTCTGTGCAAGTAAGTAAATTTTCTTTGGTAATTGTTAGCCCAAATACCAATTACTAGCTTAGTTTTATCTTGAATTACACCATAGCTGGGTGATTCTTGTATGAGATCTCTATTTCTCTTGGTTTGTTCTGTTGATGGAGTATAATCTAAATTAGTGTCAAGTTATCTTTGGCTGTTCTTGATGTTAATGAATGTGCTTTAATTACTTGAATTAACTCTTCTTTCTTGCTATTCGGTTAGAATTATCAAGTGTCCAACTAATTCATAGTTGTTTGCTTGTTAGTTTCTAACCCACCCTAATTTCTATTCCACACATCACTTGTTTTTCTCTTCGATCTTAATTCTCAAGAGATCCGTTGACTCAACCACTGTCCTTTCTATTTTTTTAAAAGCAAAGAAAAATACACTTAAAAGTACTTTTTAAAAGTTTAGCCAAACAGTAATTAAGTATTTTTTAAATTAATTAACCAAATACAAACTGATAACCAAACTCCACATAGATGGTTAACCAGTGAATCTGACCAGGTATTTACATAAATAGCCCATTATTAAATTAGTCCGCCTGACATATAGACCACTTGGTTGCAATTAGAAGCCTCTACAAAATAATTTCTTTCGGGAAAATAGCAATAACTTTATGTCATACGAATAAACAGACACCGAGTTGGTTTATATATATAATGCAATAAGAGAAGAAAGAAATATCAATAAAAGGAGAAATATAAATAAAAAATAAAAGCTAATCTCATCATCCCTCAACGTAGAGAGTCCACTTCTTTGATCCTTGAGTTTGTTCTGATTGATACTCATGACCATAAACAAATATGATCTCGCAATATATAATCAACATATTAAAATATCAGTCTTTTGCATGATAGGAGGAGGTGAAAAAGAGTCAAAGCAGAGTAAATTCAGTTTAGTGGCAGATTTTTCCCAGAAGAGTATATATATATATATAACTTTGTCATAAAATATTACACACGCCATGATCTGCAGAACGACCTCGAAGCTCCTCAGTCTCCCTTTGAGCTCTCTCCAAATATTCTCTCAACTTGCGAATCTCGTCATCTGATTTCTTCTGTGCTTCTTTCGCACTTTGTTCTGCCTCCAACCGAGCAGCCTGCTCTTTCGCCAATTGCTCTTCAAGCCTATGTGTTGTATCCTTCAGCTTTGACTCAACCTGTCAAAGATGAAACAACAGCTATATAAAAAGCCCAAAGGCGCTACCTTGCTATCAGATCGCAGACCTAATTCATAGATTATAACGTACTTCCTTAGCACCAAAATACTACATACAATTCAACAAAGTTGTATTTGTATCGTGAATTTTCAAATAATCTTTTTCATCTTATCATTCTATAGCTATGTTTTTAGGATATATTTGGAAGAATACTTTCCACATATATATTTTCCAAGTTGAATTAATTCATTTACGAAATTGAGACATAATTTGCAGTTTGACCCTTGTTGAGTGAATCAAATTATCTGCTTTGGGGGGCAGAGTAAATGTCCAGCAGAATGACTTACAAATGCATATGAAGTGAAGTACTTTACTCTAGGTAGAGGGAACAAGACAGCTAAAATTACTATTCACTGCTCATAAGCGATATGATGTTCCAAACATGCCAAGTAAATTCCATAAACATGAAAATTTAGAAAGCTAAGGAAGATTGTTCAGACTTTCTCTCAAAGTCTAATATTTACCATGATTTCCAAGCGAAAAAGCAGTGCCAATTAAAAGTTTCTTTGTCGAAACCTACTATAACTACAGATTAGTAGAAGGTAGACATTAGCTCAATCCCTTGCTATTACTAAAAATGTATTGCACGATTAGCAGAGGCATCATTTGGCAATATGATATACAAGTTGATCAATGACTGATTAATTTATTTGTAGTAGTAGAAAAGGTTCAATAAAGATCAAACATACCACTTCAGTTATTCGCCTCAGTTGCTCTTCATACGACTTCCGCATTTGTTCCTTCAACTCTAATATCTCTTGCTTCGTATATCCCACCAAGTTATTAACCTCGGTTGCTTGATTTTGAAGTTTGATGGCTCCTTTCTATACATGTAACATTACAATTAATAAGTAGCCAAATTGCTGGATGAGGTCAGTTTGATTGATAATACATACCTTTAATTCCTTGAACAAGTCATCTGTATATGGTTTTCCACCATTATTCTCTACGACCACATTTACCAGGGAAAGTAGTTGTTTCAATTGGTCGGCTTTCTTCAAATGATCTTTAGACTTGTTATCAAAAAGCACTCGCCTGTTTCCACACATGGCGAGGATATCCTAGATCATAAATACAAAATACTTTAAGTTGAATACATCTCATACTTGTGTACAAAATACTTCAAGTTGAATATACCTCATACTTTCACAAGTTTGAAGAGGAATACAAGAACTAACAAAGCCAACTAAAGTTCGACGATTGAATACTAACAACATATAGCTCTATTAGTGGAAAACCTTCTTTTTCCTGACTTTTTGAAAGGGAAAAAAAAGTCTGTGTATCGCAATGTTCAAGGTGCATTGTAATTTTTCTCCCCATTTTCTTGTTCTTTAACCCTTCAAACCCCGACTGCAACATAAAACCATTAACTGGTGCTGATTTTGCTAGATCATCAACACAAATAAAGTCCAAACTATCTTATTTAATTCCAAGAATTTGAAAAGAGAAAACAAGGCAATCAAAGTACCTAGCTATGTTATTAGAAGAACTTCATTCCTTTCTCGTTTTTTGTAGTTCCTTATTTTTTTGGTTATTATAAATCAAGTCAGATGATTGGATCATAATCGTTTTCCTTTTACCATCCAACCACAGAGCAACCATTACTACCAACTCTTGCTTCTCCTGCCCCC